GTTAATTCTACCACAATTTCCCCTTTTCTGTTGAAGTGCATCCATACATATTACATATAACTTTTTAAAAGAGAAATAGGGCTTTCTCTGGATACCTTATATGTATACATAACACAATATTAAATAACAATAAAATGTTTTTTTTTAAATGGAACAAAAATTAAAAAAAAAAAAAAAAAATTCTCAGTTTTATATATAATAATTTCTACACACCAAGTGGAATTAAAGAAAACTAGCTCAAAATAGATTCACTAATTAGTCCTGATAAAAAGGTCAATACTAGTGATGTCCCTCCCACCTCCTGGACAGCTCACTAAGAATGCAGCTTCACAATGGATGCTGTCCAGGAGGTGGGAGGGTCTGGGAGGGAGGATCTGCTGCTGATTGGCTGGAATGTGTCTGCTGACTGTGAGGTACAGGGTTAAAGTTTACTCAATGAAGAGTTCGTGGAGAACCGTTCGTGGCGAATCGTTCGCGAACAGTTTGGCGAACAGTTCGGGACATCACTAGTCAATACGTGTAAATACTGCATGGAGTGAACTGCAATTTTAAAGCTACAACTTTGCAAAATTTGGCATGCTGAGATGGATTTGGCATACGACTTTCCTAGTAGTCTCAGAATCCAAAACTGCTGTACAAAATTATATAACGTAGAAAGTACATCTCCAGGCTATGAAACATTTGGACACTTTTCAGTTAAAGGATCACTATAGTGTCAGGAAAACAAAGCGATTTTCCTGACACTATAGTGCCTTAAGGGAGCCCCCACCCTCAGGGTCCCCCTCCTGTTGCACTGAAGGGGTTAAAAACCCTTCAGCCACTTACCTTTATCCATTGGCACTGGTGACCTCCCCTCCCCCGCCGACGTCAACTCCCGAGAGGAGCGGAATGCGCATGCGCGTCATGTGTCACACACGCATTCAAACAGTCTATTGGAAAGCATTTCTCAATGCTTTCCTATTTACGTTCTGCACGTTGGATGCAAATTTCGCATCCAACGTCGCAGATGCACCTCTAGCGGCTGTCAGAAAGACAGCCACTGAAGGTTGGATTAACCCTGCTATGTAAACAAAGCAGTTTCTCTGAAACTGTTATGTTTACACCTAGGGTTAAAACCTGAGGGACCTGGCACCCAGACAACTTCATTGAGCGAAAGTGGTCTGGGTGACTATAGTGTCCCTTTAACCATTATATCACAAACCTAGTTATTTTTTTTAGTCTTTTCAGATCCTGGAGTCTCTATGACACTGGAGGACACTGTGCCAGGATAGGGGGGGTAAAATTATTTTTAAAATCACAGCAAAGCTACCGTGGCATTTAAATGATTTAAAGGGCTATGAGCAGCATTCAATTTGATCACTGCTCATAACTTTCCTGCAGGCTCGGACCACTAACTGTGGCTCCCAACTGACAGAAGGAACCCCTAGTTACCTGAGGGTCCTTAGTACCAGCAGGGATTTAACCTCTACTAGTACCTTAACTGCATGATGGTCTATGCCGTCTCTTGGCATTAAAGCCCTGCACTGCATGGCAGCATAGACTATTGTGTGGTCCTTAAGGAGTTAAAGTTACTCATCATTAAAAAAAAATTCACATTCCATTTTGTAAAAAGCATTCATTATTAATAGTCATTATTAATAGTTTTGTTTATATTTGTAGGGGGATAATGCTGTTGAATGTTGTAATTGGGTGGAGGCTCATGTGAGTGTGAGTATAAAAACAGAGGTAAATTTGTTTGGTTTAACAAATTAGTGCATAGGTCCATATGTGTGGAAGGTTAGTGTGCATAAAAGAAAAAGTACATATATGAATGCTATATAAATGCATGTTGAGGGCGTGTCCAAATGCAGAGGTGTATGCGGAAGTTCTGTATGTTAATATATGTATGTCTGTGTGTCTTTAAATATATGCGAACAGGTTTATGTGTAGATTTAAGTTCAAAGGGTTACTCCAACCAAACAACGGTGTTCTAAGAAAGCAAAATAGTTTTCAGAGAAACCCTTTCTAGGGTGGAACAAGAAAGGACGTGCCAATCTTGTATGGGTGGGTGTTTCAGCACGATGTCAATGCATGCCAGACTAACTTACATTTTCCCTGCCAGTCCGACACACATCAGACTATACTAAGTGCATAGCTGAAGTGCTCTTTGCATGGTCCTAGGACTTTCAGCACAACACTAGCATGTCTAATGTCCCTGGTGTCCCTAAAATAGAGACAGCCGCTCCAAAATCAGGACATTTAGGAGACCTGTTTTTACAAGGAATTCTGAAATATATTTAAATAGTGTATCTGCAGTCTGGACTCCCAGTCCTGTAGTCTATGATCTGCTTGCAAAATAGTATTCATCTATTTTAATGCTTTTGGCTTTTTTTTTCATTTATGGAATGCTTTTTTTTTCTTTACTTACTCCAGTACCAGCCTGAGGATTTACTGTAATCATTTGTCTTGTCGTTCTTCTGTTATTCCCTGAGCTCACATTAAAACCGCAAGACCTGGCACTGCGTGGAATGAGCTCAAGCCCTTCTATACAATGGTGGATGGTGGGTCCTGCTAGGTTAATACTTAGACACGATCTTGACCTGGGAACATCTCATCCCCATAGCAGTGCTTGCCCTAAAAATCCCCCAAATAGTAGATGTATTTTATTTTCATTGGCAAATGTGATTAGAATAGCAAAGCAACAGACATGGTTTGATCATTCTGTGCTCATTTTAAAGGCCATCTTAAAATAAATTAAAAATACTAGGAAGCCAAAATACCTCCTGGATATAACTGATAATCAATGTTGTGTGAAAAGCTTTGAAAAGAGTTTCCGTAGAAATGTTAGAAAGGAACTGTTTTAGAACTGCTCATAGAATTCAGGCATCTCTTATAAAAACACATCAGAAGTAATACATCACATTACATCAAGTTCTGGAATGTATTGAATTTTTCCAGAAAATAAGAAAAAATAAATGCTTTATAAATAGCATCTGCTTGACTTTTTCTTAGGGAAAAACAATGCTTTAGATTCTGATGGAAAAAGGCAATTTTATTGTAGGAGTACTGACCTTACTTGAGCCTATCAAGTCAGCTGTGATATAAATTTAAAGAGAAATCGATTTAGTTTTTTTTCTTTAGGAATAGATTTCTACTGGTATTTGCGTATTGCATTATGCATTCATTGTCAATGTTTACATAATCTAACATTCTAAATGCCACATGAATGTTAAATACAATCTTTATATAATATTCTTTTTCATAGGCTTGTTTAAGCTTTTTTTTTTTTTTTTGTAATTCTTTTAGTATGCTCTACAAAGCTGTGGATTTTTGCCAAGAATGGTTGGGATCAGGTGATGAGCAAATGCTTTTTGCTCAAAAAAGCACAGGGCTTACACTGCTTGCATAATTAAATGAGGGTGATAATTTCATTTATTGTTTGTTTTACCGTCTTTTGTTTAATTCAAAAAAAGGCGATACATCAGTCATTCCATTTATTTGCCAAAATAAGTTATAATGCCAACAGGAACTGCATTGTATGTTTAAACAGTTAAGAACAGAGTAGTTTGTAAAAACATATGAAATTGGGGAAGAATAATAAATGTGATAAGGAATACTAAAAACATAACCGCATTACAGTACTGAAGTGAAAAAGGTCCAGCGAGATACCAGAGTGTGTTTATAGAAGACACTCATGGGTCAAAAGTCAACACTGTCAGGTTTTGTGGAGGGAATTGTATTGGAAGATGTCTATGGAGCTTTTAAGGATTTGACTAGAGCCATCCTAGTGAAGCACATAGGCAGAGCTCTTCTGCTCCGTTAATGCACCTTTACCTCCAATTGTGACCTGTGTCTCTCTGACACCCTGGGGCTTCTGAATATCTGCAACAAGCATGTCCAGGGGAAGTAGGCATGTGCAAGACATTTCATATCCTTCAGTTATGGTTTTTATAGCAAGAATTAAGAAAGCACACATTTTGTTTTCTTTATTTTAGTGTCACTAGTAGGTGAACAGTAAATTATTAGTACAGTATTAGTGGTAGACCCTAAAACAAAGATGTGGTGGCCACAAATTTCAGAACCAAATAAGTGTTCACAGTGCCGGCCTTAGACTTTTAGGCGCCTTGTGCGAAAAATATTCACAGGGCCACTCTCTGGCCACACCCCTCATCCAATACCTCCTGCCATTTAACACTTCCCATCCTTGTTAATCTCCCAAAACAAAGAGATTAGAAAAACATCATGAAAAAGATTTCAAGCTCTTCAGGCAACATGCAAAAATGTTTTTTTTCAGACTATTTTGACATTTGAAATTAGTTTGTTAATTTTTGACAGTTTCTGCTTTGACCATTAAATTCCTCTTCCATTTCCTTCTCAAATCTCCCTTTTACGTATAACTTTCTTCTTAGATCATGTTTTTTCCTAAGCACTTGGCTTTGCCTCTACGACTATTATCCTTCTTACCTTAACTTTCAAAGAAACCCACACTCTAGCCACTAGTCCTCCTATTAACCATTTACTGACCAGTCACTGCTCCTCCAACCACTCATTCACATAACATTTGCAGCACTATCTCAACACTCATACACACTACATACATGTCACAACTTCCCCACCACCCTTCTACACACCTCCCACTTCTATCCTACCACCCATCCACACACTGCAACTTATACCCCACATGCATACACACACCACCCAGTTCTTCCCCACCACCCATTTACACACCAGTCACTACTTCTCCACCACTCATCCACACCATCAATTTCTTTCATTATCCATTCACAAATAAGTTATGTGAATTTGCACTTGTTACTGTTACTAACCATTTCCACCCCAACCCGCTCACTTGTTATGTAAACCCATTACCACACACAAGCAGCTCCTCCAACTATTTTACCCCTATCTCATAATAGAGCTCCCTTCTTGTTCCCAATCTTTCCAGGTTCCTCCATTACAAACATCCTCTCTCTTCTATAGGAAAAAACAAACACAACAAAAATAAAATACGGATCAGTAAACAGACAAACAGCTTCCCACTGAACACCTCCCAAGTAGTGTTACGTCTGAACAAGCCAAGTAATACAGTATATGTGGGATTCAGCTGATGAATCTAAAATCAAATGAAATAAAACATAGCATAATACAGTTTTAGAAATGTAATATTTCCTGCTATAGATTGCACTTACAGGATGTTGAAAGTATATGCGCTCTATTGGTGCCTCCCCCGATATTTTGGGGGGGCTAGTATCTCCCTCTTAGGATCAAGTATCACCCGGCATCATCAACCATACAGGACTCCGACAGGTAGATAGGTAAAAAGGAGGTTTATTGGTATAAAAAGAAGTCCACCAGGGGACTTCCTCAGAGACCAGTATACAGTGAGTAGATAATGCTCCCAAAAAAACAGCAGCCTATTACATTTCTAAAACTGTATTATGCTATGTTTTATTTAATTTGATTTTAGATTCATCCTCTCTCTTCTGCATTCACAAGTTGCTCTCCTATTAAATATCCTGTTGACATTACCATCACACCTCTTGCCCTTTTGTCAAATTCTCCCAGTCCATTACACATATCCCTGCCCCTCCATTACACATCTCTCTACCCCTCCATTGCACGCTCCTTGCGCCTCCATTACACAGCTCTCTACCCCTCCATTACACAGCTCTCTACCCCTCCATTACACAGCTCCCTGCCTCACCATTACACAGCTCTCTACCCCTCCATTACACAGCTCTCTACCCCTCCATTACACAGCTCCCTGCCTCACCATTACACAGATCTCTACCCCTCCATCGCACAGCTCTGTATTCCTCCATTGCACAGCTCCCTGCCCCTCCATTACACATCTCTCTACCCCTCCATTGCATGCTCCTTGCGCCTCCATTACACAGCTCCCTGCCTCACCATTACACAGATCTCTACCCCTCCATCGCACAGCTCTGTATTCCTCCATTGCACAGCTCCCTGCCCCTCCATTACACATCTCTCTACCCCTCCATTGCAGAGATTCCTGCTCCTCCACTACACAGCTCTCTGCCTCTCCATTACACATATACCTGCCTCTTCATTGCACATCTCTCATCTCTGTCCATGAGACTCTGATTCTGCTCCAGGCATCCTCCCCTCCATCTCCGGTTCATCAGCATGTGGCAGTAAAGAGCAGGAAGTAACTATGTTGTGAAGTGACACTGCTGCCTGCAGCCCACAATCTAATTGGTGAACATTTTCCCGAGGAATCAGGTAGTAAAGTGAGGAGCTGCGAGCCTGCTCTGTTTATTTGACGCTTGGATTAACAGTGAGGCTGTACCAGAGACATCAACTAGTTGCAATGGAACAGGTGCACCAAACTCTAATCCTCATTGCCTGGGTGACTTTGGAACTGCGTGTGCTGCATGGTGCCCCCTGTTGCCATGGCACCCTGTGCAGCTGCACAGCTCTCACACCCCTATGGCTGGCCCTGAGTGTTCACGGCGTATGAGACTGGCTACCTGAAATTCTTGTCTAATTGGTTACCCTTCCTCCATTTTGTGGAGTGTCTAGTGATAAGGGATGGCTCAGTCTTGGTTTGTGGCTGAACAAAAGTACATATGTTTAGATTAAATGTTGTATTCCTTTTCTAATTTCTACATTCCATAAATAAAAAAAGCAAACTATAAAAGCTGAAATGTGTAAAGATGGTACTATGAAATGTACATTTACTGTAAAGATATAAAAAATATAGTAGGCAAGAAGCAAAATATGTTTTTTATTCGATCTTTAGTGTACATGTTTACCATATTTAAACATTTTATTCTGTTTAAATCAGTCAGCTGCCTCCTTGATATTCAACTCTATTTTATATTCATCCATCTATCAGGGGTAAAAAAGGTCAGGCATCTTGAAAGAAAAAGATTTGTAGAAGCACACATGCCAGTCAAATCAAACCACACAATAGTCAGAAAATACATCCATGGCATAATCTGATTATAACATTTAAGTAACAAAGACCGGATTTATTTATGTATTTTTTGCAAGATTTATCTAAGATGAACTATTGAATTGGAGAATGATACTCATTCATTTTCTGTGAATTCCCTCCTGCTTTAGACTGAATATGAAAAAAACGCAACCCATACAATGACATCTGAAACGGAATGCCTGTCTATATATCTTATTTACATATCCATCATTGCATTATTATTATAGGTATTTATATAGCGCCACCCTATTCCGTAGTGCTTTGCAATATTATAAGAGGTGTAGATTTAACAATAAATGAGACAATTACAAAAACAATAGGTTGAAGAGGACCCCCCTCAAACGAGCTTGTAGTCTAGAGGAGGTGGGGTATAAAAACACAATCAGACAGGAGAAGGTACAAGCTGAAATGAGGCGAATGTTGGAGGACAACGAACATTAGTTTGAGAAAGAAAATGCTTTAGCTCATGATTTCATGTGCACAAGTGGTTTTATCAGAGTCCGTACAGATGTTCAAACAGCTACTAGATGCATACTTGCAAAAACAGAATATTCAAGGATATAATCTTTCAATGTAGGGTGATAACTGCTTGATCCAAGGATAAATCTGACTGCCATTCTGGGGTCAAGAAGGAATTTTTTTCCTAGCTTGTTGCAAAATTGGAAGTGCTTCAAACTGGGGTTTTTTTGCCTTCTTTTGGATCAACAGCAAAAAACTAATGTGAGGAAGGCCGAACTTGATGGACGCAAGTCTCTTTTCAGCTATATAACTATGTAGGAGGATTGGAGGAAGGCAGATGTTGTTCCTATAAAGGGTTCAAAATCCTTACTGGAAATTATAGACCTGTGAGCTTAACTTCTGTAACTGGGAAAATATTTGAAGGGCTATTAAGGGATAATATTCAGGAATTCATTGGGAAGAACTGTTATTAGCAATAATCAGCTTGGTTTTATGAAACATAGGTCATGTCAAACTAACCTAATTGCATTCTACGAAGAAGTAAGTAGAAGTATAGATCAGGGTGTTGCAGTGGATGTGATCTACTTGGATTTTGCCATGGCATTTGATATGGTTCCTCACAATAGGTTAGTCTTCAAACTAAAATAAATTGGTCTAGATGAATATTCTTGTTCTTAGGTAGAACATTGGCTTAAGGATAGAGTACAGCGAGTTGTAATTAATGGTACATTTTCAGGCTGGACAAAAGTGGTAAGTGGTGTCCCTCAGGGTTCTGTTTTGGGACCACTTCTATTTAACATATTTATAAATGATCTTGAAATAGGCATTGAAAGCCATGTATCAGTGTTTGCAGATGACACAAAACTTTGTAAAGTAATAATATGTGAGCAGGATATTGCTTTGCTGCAGAGAGATTTGGATAGATTGGGGGACTGGGCACTAAAATGGCAGATGAAATTTAACATAGAGAAATGCAAAGTTATGCACTTCGGGGTTAAGAATGCTCAAGCAACATACACACTAAATGGTAGTGAATTAGGGATAACCACACACGAGAAGGATTTGGGAATTGTTATAGACAACAAATTAGGCAGCAATATGCAATGTCAATCTGCAGTTGCTAAGGCCAGTAGGATTTTGTCATGTATAAATAGGGGCATAACTTCTCGGGATGAAAATATAATTTTGCCTCTTTATAAATCGCTGGTAAGACCACACCTTGAATATGCTGTGCAATTTTGGGTGCCTGTTCTAAAGAAGGATATCATGGCACTGGAGAGGGTCCAGAGACGAGCTACAAAATTGATAAAAGGAATGGAGCATTTTAGTTATGAAGAAAGGTTAAAAAAATTAAATCTGCTTAGTTTGGAAAAACAGCGCCTGAGAGGGTATATGATAACTTTATACAAATATATTCGGGGCCAGTACAAACCTTTATCTGGAAATCTATTCATAAACAGGGCTATACATAGGACACGAGGTCACACATTTAGGCTGGAAGAAAGGAGATTTCATCTAAGGCAAAGAAAAGGTTTTTTACAGTAAGAACAATAAGGATATGGGATTCTCTGCCTGAAGAGGTGATTTTGTCAGAGTCCATACAGATGTTTAAACTGAAATTGGATAAATACTTACAAAAACATAACATACAGGGATATCATTTCTAATTAGTGGGGTAATAGCTGCTTGATCCAAGGAGACATCTGACTGATTTTGGGATCAAGAAGGAATTTTTTCCTATTATGAGGCAAAATTGGAAGTGCTTCAGACCAGGTTTTTTGCCTTCTTTTGGATCAACAGCAACAACATTTGTGAGGAAGGCTGAACTTGATGGACGCAAGTCTCTTTTCAGCTATGTAACTATGTAACTATGTAAGTTATATTATCAGCCTCCCCCACTCTTCCTTCAGCAGAATATAAATAAATTTTGTGGAAAGCAGGATTTACCTGGTGTAAGGTAACCGATGATATTTATGTCAATCTTGTATACAGGTTATTTATCCACCACTGGCAACACCTTAACAGCACCTTACAGCTCCTACTATTCAATTTGTAAACGTTGTTGATGACTCTGGGTTTAGGAAATAAGAACAACACACAGTTAATATTTCCGAAACTCACACTTATTATGTAAGTTCCATATGTACATGCTTCATATCTACAAATGGTTGCAATCCAATAAGTCCATCAGAGTACCTTGCCTAAACACACATTTAAACATACATGTATATCCATTGTAAAAATATGCATTCCTACTAGGAATTCCAATTGTGGGAGGAAAAAAAACTTAAAACTACTCCATTCCTTGTCTTCCATTCATTAAGTTTATTGAGTTGAATAACTGACCTTTATAATGTAGTGTATATAATATGGTCACATTGGCTAAGGGCTATAATGTTATACAAATTACTTGTTTCTATTGAAAACTCAACCTTTTTAACCTTACAGCATAATTTTGCTATTTTCATTTTCATAATGGATTGATTCCTTTGGCCCCCTCAACAGACACTCTATTGATCTTGTCTTCTGTCATCGGTGTCGCTGTATTAATATTTGCTATTCAGCTACAACCTTCTATCAATCAAATTCACTTTCATAGCACAGCTCCTACATGATGTGTATCTTCTTAGCTATGCAAACTCATTCTCCAATTCTTCCTGCACTAAAATGACCCTACAATGAACAAATATGTTTCTGGCGCAACTCGTACCTTCCAACAGAAATCTTATTATATTTATAAATGTTTATTTGATACCTTGAAAATGCACTTAGGATATAAACTAATATATTTCAACGGGGGAGGACCAAA